AAGACATGAAGTGTGAAAACATTTATAACTGGAGAAAGTTGAAAGTTGTTTTTTACAGAAGCACAGAAGATACAAAAAAATTGTCAGCAAATGAAAAGTACGTTAATCGCAAACTGCTCAAACTACATTGAATGAACAACAAGCATTGGAAGGAGAAGAAATTCAACAAAGACTTCGCCTAGGAGCTGTGCCAAGGCTTAAAACCAACGTTCATAAAGACTCTATAGAATTGTTCTTTGCCCCTAAGTTTCGACCGCTCGAGTAGCAGTGGTTCTGGCAACGTTCCTTTCTCGTTTAATTAACCGTTGCTCATTAGTTTCTGCTGACCTTGCATTAGCTATACGAATAGCATTTTACGTCAGTTTAATTTGAGTTTCTAGTTGCGAAACGTTTCTTCTCCGTGCTTTCATGCGTTTGGCTGTAGTAGCAGCACGTCCAAGTGAAGGATTTTGCTTTCTTGGCATTACTATTAGGCTGTAGTTGGAGGGGTTTGGCTAAGCTTTTTGAATAACAATGAAGTAATCAGTTAAAAAGCAAAATTATTATACACATTAATGGAAATATAGCCACAATAAATTAAATCCAAGTTTATATAGGAGACCACGGGAACGTGATAAACAATTATAAGCAAGCGCGTAAAGTTAAGATTCATCTAAAAATAGACTACCTAGTGATAAAAATAAAAATTAACGTGCAGCTAGAAACCTACTCACTATGAACGTTAAAACTTACACGCTAAGTTTAGCATAATTATAAATGAATCAAAACAGTGTCTTTACATTATTATAAGTGCATTTTTCAGAATAAAACTGTCAAAATTTTAGGGCTCAAGTTTCCAAATATATAAGTTAGTAAGCATTATTTAAACGCTGATTAGAAGATGATAAATGCATAATTAAAAATTGGCATTTACGCTTAAACTTTTTTATTAATATGATTTTCACTAATTTAAATTTAAAGTATCAAAAATTCAAAATATTCATGCATGAAGGCAGCCTATCTTTTTACCGGATGACAACTTTGATGCGAATGAGATTTTTTGCATTTATTTCATCACATAGCACTAATGAACACTACACGTGAAGCAAAATCGATAGTACGCACTATATAACTCGATCGATCATTGAACGTGGAGCAAAATCAATTGTACACACTACACATCACGATCGATCTCGCACACGCGTCTTATGCCTACGTGCACTTCTTTCATCGGTGCACACTTTTGTTTGCACTTATTCTTATTTTCTTAAGGAAGGATATAATTTTTGCCGTCAAGTTAATGCAAACTAAACTATTTCTGTACCAAAACGGGAAATCCATGGGAAAAAAACTGATATTTTTCATTATGTATTTATGACACATGGGGTGTCAGTTTTGATTTTGAGTTGATTGATCTAAACAAAAATTATGTACAAATTTTCATCGGCATGCTACTAACCACTACAATTGAAAGACTAATGGGGCTGAAAGGGGTTCATGAGTCACCTTGGGAGCCCGTTATGTAGTTTTCAAAATCTGATAATCATCTTTGATTCATTTTAAGATTGTAACATACATGTAAAATTCCGTCGAAATCGAAGCAATTTGAAAATGTGGGGATCCCTTTGTTTCACCCTAGGGGTATCAAATTTCAAGCCAAAGGACAAGTTTAAAATAGTAATTGAAATAATAAAGAACGTATTATTTAATTTTTCTATTTAATCGACTTTATGGCCAAGGCTGTAGATTTAATTGAAAATTTCGACGTTCCCTGCTGGCCCCCTAACTCGTGGGGGCCCCAGTGTTGATTTTCAGTGAATTCCAAATGACTACTTCAGTTACTCGATAAAATCTCAATATATACTGAAATTTTCGTTGAAATTGGGGAATACTGCTACAAAATACACTTGAAAAGCAATTGAGACATCAAGGGGTTTATAGGGTCATCCTGGGGGTCCTCTCATGTATTTTTAAAAATCTGACAACCGATTTCTATCTCATTGTAAGAGCGTAACATACATGCAAAATTTCATCAAAATCAAAGCAATATGAATTTTGGGGGGTCCCTTTGGGGCACCCTGGGGGTGTCGAGAGAAACAAAAATCAATATAGAGTATAATAAGCGTGACAGTAAGTTACATACACTTATCAAGTTTCATTAGAATCGGCCTTAGGGTTTAGACTTCAAGGCTGAATGTTTAAAATCAACCAAACTAATGGAAATACCCATTTAAACATTATATGTATCGATTATCGGTTATTGATAAAAATGACTTTTTTTTCCCCAGACACATCCAGTATCGGGTACAATCTATGTTCCAAATTTGAAGGAAATACGCCATATGGTTCTCGAGTAGTTCGCGAACACACACACACACACACACATACACACACAGTCAGTTTTATATATATATATATATATATATATATATATATATATATATATATATATATGTATACACGAGTATTTAGACAGTAAATTCTCATTTAGGCATGTCTGATTGAATAAATTACAAACATTATGCTTCCTTATTTTGATCATAATCCTTTTTATTCACGAATATTTTTTATATATTACAATTGAATAAGGCAAGAAATGCGCTGTAACAGTGAGAATCATTTTTATTCTACCTATTTTTTTATTTTGTATTTCTTGCCTTATTCAATTGTAATATACGGAAAAATATTCGTGAGTATAATAAGATTATGATAAAAATAAGCATATAGAATGTTTGTAATTTATTCAATCAGTCATGAGTAATATATATATATATATATAAGGTCAAGACAAGTTTTAATCATGAATATAAACATTTTTTCACACGTTTTGTGAGTTAGATAATACACACACACACACACACACATATATATATATATTGGGCCTTGGGCTTGTTCAAAAGTTTGAGAGTCCCTAAGTCTTTGCATATTCTCAGCATTGGAACCTCTCAGCATTGGAATGCCCTTTGATCTGGTTTTCATTTCATGCATAAAGCCAAACCCGTTTAGAAATAACTAAACTGTTAGCTTTATACAATCGCTTTCTAAGACCAATGGTAAAAATATCTTTGAGTGATTGAAGCCAGTGCATCTTGGTGAAGACCACACTTCTTGGAACCTTGTCGACCTGCCCTACAGAATCGCAAACACAAAAAAACTGCACCAAATGACAGAAACCACACCACTTGAAGAATTTCATTAGAAGAAACATCTAAAATGGCTAATCTCATCTCAGTCGGAGAGAAAATAATGACATAACCAAAATGTTGACATTCCACGATATTCCGGATAAAAGGTCAAGAAAGGAGACCTCCATTAATAGTGGAAAAAGCGAAAACAGCTACTGGATTTAAGAAAACTCAATTCATGTTCTTAAATAAATTTGTTGATGGAGACGCCAACCCCGTTCAGAAATATCTAAAATGTAAGCTGTATACAACTGCTTCAATGGATAAAAAAAATGACTTTGGGTGAATAAAGCCTGTGAATCTTGTTGAAGGTCATTGTAGACTGGCGCTGCAGAATCACAAAGAACTGTACCAAAAAGCAGAAACAATATCACCTGAGGATTTTAAACAGCAGCAACAGCTAAAATGGATATCACATGTCACTTAAAGAGAAAATAATGACATGACATAATCAAAGTACTGACTTTCCACACAATGTTGAATATCGGTTGAGGAAAGACCTTTGGCCTTATTTCCGTAGCATCAGTATGTGAGCGCAAATAAACAGGAAATGCGTCCGATGGCTAAAATAAACAGGACGCACAGGTGTCCTGATTCTTGAATAAACAGGGCGCACAGGTGTCGTGAGCGAAAGGAAATGCGTACTTGCGTGGGCTCATGACGGAAGAGGCGTGATCGGACGAAGTTGCGTAGGTGTCCAAATGTTATTTAACCTGTCCGATTCTTAATCTGGACAGAGAGGCTGGCTAAAGTTTCCCCCAAGATTGGTCTCCGTCATTTCCTGCCTGCGCAATCCTAACCGCTGTGATTCTCACTCTACCCATTCTCCGCAACTCGAACAAGAAAGATAATTATTTATTATTAAATATAAGTTCCCGTCGCCTTATTTGAGCCCAGCAGCAATATACTAATATTACTTCAAATAAAAGGTTAAAAAAGAATCCTTCATCAACACACAAATGAATGATGACAACTATTAGGTTGGTGTAAAATTAATGACGTAATAATGTCGTTTTTGACGTTAAAAAATACGTCAAAAAACGACATTATTACGTCATTATTTTTGCACTAACCTAATACTAGACTTAAAAAAATTGTTTCCTAAAAAATTGGTTTGAGAGAAAGATTTTATAAATTTCATCCGATAGCAGTACTGACTGCTTGGCTAATGAATGTTTCCTTATGTTTCCTTATATGTTTTCCTTGTTTTTCCTTATAAGGAAACGATTAATATTATCATTACCAGCAGAACATTGTCCACCCACATGATATCCGTGCAAGAATGTTGACAAATTCCTTGGCCGAAATGATCTCCAGAACGAGCCATCATAGAAACCGTCATAGACACCTACGCAACTTCGTCTGACCACGCCTCTTCCGGCATGCACCCACGCAAGCATGCATTTTCATCCGCTCACGACACCTGTGCGCCCTGTTTATTCAAGAATCAGGACACCTGTGTGTCCTGTTTATTTTAGCCATCGGACGCATTTCCTGTTTATTTGCGCTCACATACTGATGCTACGGAAATAAGGCCAAAGGTCTTTCCTCAACCGATATTCAACATTGTGTGGAAAGTCATATATATTCGAAAATGGAAAATTCAGTGTAGACTCTCTTTATAGCGTACATAATGGGACGGTGTCTGACACGTTCAGTTAGCCCGTCTAAAACACTTGCTGTAGGGAGACAAGAGATACAATAACGATTTACACAATGTAGTTCTAGATGGTATTCATTCAAAACATGTAAACCAATCTCCTAGAATCATGGCGACCAGGCGCCGGAACACACTATAAATCGTTTGTAGAGGAAACGTTGTGCGTCAAGTATATT